CCCCAATCCCAAATTTCCAGCTGGGAAATCTTAAATTTTGGGAATTCTCAGATCCCGATTTTCTAGAAAAAAGACTGGAAAGCCCAAATTTTGGGAATTCCGGGACTCCAGATCCCGATTTGAGAGAGGTTGGAGACCCCAAACTTTGGGAATTTTCAGCCGATCCAGCTTTTCTCCCTCACAATTCCCAAAGTTTTGCGATTCCCAAATCCCTCCCGTCGCTTTTTTCCTCCCTCCCGGCTCATTCCCGAGCCGCTGTGCCTTCCCCATCCCGATTATTCCAGTTTTTTTCCCGTTTTCCCCGTTTTTTCCCGAATTTTTTCCCATTTTTTGTCCTCCCCACCTTCCCGGGCCGCCCCATCTCGGCGCCTCCACGCGGCCTCCGCTACTTCCGGTGTTCCCCCGCCCCTTCCGGCTACTTCCGGTGTGTCACTTCCGCTCCCTCCGGGCGTCAAGCGTTTCCCCGAACGTGAGTTCCGCCGGGTTTGTTGCCCCGCCGGTTTTGAGACCCCAAAATTCCCCCAAAATCCCCAAAAATTCCCCCAAATTCCCCCAAAATCCCACCCAGGAACCCCAAAATCCCCCAAAATCCCACCCAGGGACCCCAAAATCCCCCCCAGGGACCCCAAAATCTCCCCGGCGCGACACTGAATGCGAGGGGCCGGCTGTGGGAAGAGTCCCAGGTTTAATGGTGACCCCAAAAATCCCCCAAAAATCTCCCCAAATTAAAGACTCCGACCCGTCCGGAGACCCTTCCCCAGTTCTGGGGTTCCCCCCTTCACCAGGTGAGACACCTGAGGACCCCCAGGCTCAGGTGAGACCCCCCCCGAACCCCCCCAAAAAACTTCCCAATTTCACCCCAAAACCTCCCCGATTTCGCCCCAAATCCCCCCCAGGACTCCCCAAAAACCCCAAATTTTTGGAGTCCCTCAGCCAGGTGTAACTCAGAACACACCTGGGGATCCCCAGGTTCAGGTAAGACCCCAAAACCCCCTGAATCCCCCCCAAAACCCCCAAAATCTCCCCGATTTAACCCCAAAACCTCCCCGATTTAACCCCAAATCCCCCCCAGGACACCCCAAAAACCCCAAATTTTGGGGGTCCCCTCAGCCAGGTGTAACTCAGAACAC